TCATGTCTCGTGGCTGCTAGTACAAGAACCGACAATTGCCAAAAGGCCAAATTGGTTCAGACTAGTTGACAGTGGGTGCCCATCCTGGCCTCGTCTCTTCTCACAAGACTGTCCTAACTGATCCTTCAACTGAGGGCACGTGATGTCCCATCTCTCTGCTCCATGCTCCATTCTCTGTTGTCAGGCCACCTTTAATCATAAGCTAACATATGTGAACTTTAGGTGTGGTGGTGGGTACCATTTTCCTGTGGATTCTTTGAGGGATCGGGGGCCTTTCCAGTAGGCTTCTGGGGCTCCCTGCTTCCACCCCAGCACTGCCTGCTCTCCTTCCTCCACCACAGCACCAGCCAAAGGTGGAACCCAGATGGCCTTTTCTTTATGTCAGCTCTGCAAAATCCCCCTCTGTAGGATTTAACTGTGGGACTGTGGTGACTCCCTAATAATCCTGCTTGTTCCTCCAACTCTCAAATGTTCTGATCTCAAGGGTAGCAGTGCTAGGAAATAATTTCCCCATTCCACAATAGGACAAACTGAGGTAGGAAGCAAGGAATTGGCTTAGCCAAGCTTACAGTCATGGGCATCTAATAGAGTACCTGGAACAACTTAAACTCAGCTACTATAAGTGAATGAAAGGGAGGGAGGGAAGGAGGAAAGACAAGAGGGACATCAGTGTTAGCTGATGTTATTGTCTGCATTTGACCAGTGACCACGGTTTGACAGTTTGAGTTTCAGTTCCATGGAAGGCTACATAGAAAGTACCTTAAGACAGAAAGATTAGCCAGGCCCAGTGGCTCATGCCTATAATCTGAACACTCTGGAAGGCTGAGGCAGGAGGATTGCTTGAGCTTAGGCATTTGAGACCAGCCTGAGCAAGACTGAGGCCCTGTCTCTACTAAACAGAAAAATTCTCTGGGCATCATGGCGCATGCCTATAGTCCCAGCTATTCGGGAGGCTGAGGCAGGAGGATCGCTTGAGCCCAGGAGTTTGAGGTTGCAGTGAGCTACAGTGACACCACTTTACTCTACCTGGAGCAAAAGAGTGAGACTCTGTCTTAAAAAAAAAAAAAAAAGACAGAAAGATTGTGGGGGGAAATGTGTCTGACACATCCCAACCCTTAATCTCAGGGTTAAATTAGAGATGGGCCGGCCTAGAGGTCCCCATGGCTTCATCCCTGGGTGAGTTGGTATGTGGGCTGTTGTTGAGGGTGCCCAGGATCTAGGCCTCCCTGGAGCCAGAACAGCTGCTTCTGCTGGTTGGGGACCAATGGGGAAGGTGGAAGAGATACCAGGAACCCAACAAGAGGACCCATAGGAGGGAGGCAGAGAGGACCATCCTAGGGTGCCTGCATGGAGTGGCTGGGATCAGGTAAGCAGGCAACCTCAGCAGGCTGATGGGACAATCCCTAGCGTCAGGTGGGAAACTCTACTGGGCCCTCTAGTATCCCATTGGCTGGTTATTAACTGCATCACCCCAGAAATGCCAGGGTCCAGGGCTGTGGGAGTCACTCTTCCCCTGTAGCAGGGGAAGGGATGAGCCTATTCTCCTCTAGGCATCCATTCATTCTGGTGAGTACTGGGTAGAGACCCATACTAATAAATAGAAGGGTACATAACACAGCTGTAAAGGACATTATTGGGACAACTGGGGAAATTTGAATGTGGCCTACATAGTAGATGATAGTATTACATTGATGTTAAATTTCCTGAATGTCATTATGTTAGGAGAATACCTTGTTCTGAGGATGTACATGCTACAGTATTTAGGGATGAAAAACCATGATGTATACAACTAATTCTCAAAATAGTTGGGGAAATTAATAGTATTAACCTACCGATATTAAGGGTAGATATACTAAATTAAAGCTAATGAGAGGAGAGAGAGCAGACAGAGAGAGGAGAGAAGAGAAGTAAATGTGGATAGAGAGTTATCAATTGGTAAATTAGATTTCGAAGACGTATTGGATATTCAGTGTACTGTTTTTTTCTTTCTTTTATTGATATATAATAGCTACAGATATTTATGCTGTATACTAACGTTCAACTGATCTAGATCAGGCGTACACTGAATCCATCACCCAAACATTTATCTTATTCTTTTTCGTTGGAACCATTTCAAATCTTTCTCTCTAGCTATTGTGAAATATACAATAAATAATGGACAATATACTAATCACACAACTCTTATCTCCTGAAATCCCTAATAAAAAGTTGGAGGCAATGGAGAAAAATCACCATGACATACTTATAGAGCAATTATTGGATCCCAAAATTTATGTAGCTCTATTATCTGATTTAATCTTAAACCCCAGAGAGGGTCACTGATTTTCATATCAAAGATAAGGAAACTGAGCCCAGATGCGGCTAAGACATTTGCCCAAGTCACAAAGCTTGGGATGAAAACGAAGCCACCAAAGGAGGGAGGTCCCATGGAGAAGGGTCGCCTGGCACAAGCGCGGATAGCCTGACACCTGTTTGAACGCTCCCACACATAGTGTAAGCCTGTGCTGGCCCCTTCGAGGGCCACTTGGCAACCATCTTCTGAAAAACGGCCTACAAATCCACACTTGTGTGTTTAGAGCTATTTGAATTTCACCTCTAAAGTATTAAATCATAAACAAAGCCATTAGTAACAAGCACAGTGTGATTACGCGGTCTGTGCGCGCTGGCCGCACCCCAGTATCCTACACACTCCTGGGAGGCCCAAGGCAGACGGATTGCTGCGACTCAGGAGTTCAAAACTAGCCTAGCCAAGACAAACTGCCTCTCATAATAAACACGGCGGAAGAATATCCTGGCAACAATATCATACTCACGCAAAAAATTCAGCCTGGCATGGTGAGCGGTGCATGCCTGTAGTCAGCCCAGCTACTCGGAGAAGCGAGGCAGCAGGAGCGCGAGTCCAGCGAGTGTTGAGATTGCTGTGATAGCCCTGACCGCCATTTGGGCACTCACCTCTACCCTGGGCAACTAAAGCAGAGGACCGAACTGTTCACATAAAAAAAAAAAAAAAGTGTATACTAAGGTACTCATAGTACAAAGGTACATAAAAGCCAAAGATTGGAAACATCTCACATATTCGTCATTAGGAATATTATAGGAAACCACCAAAAAAGGCAAAGCAGATCTAAATGCTGATATGTCACACTTAGAGTCAACAAATGATAATGTCATGATTAAAAAAGCAAGGGATGTTTCTTTAGTATTAAAATGTGGATGTGGGCCAGACTCATGTCTCACACCTGTAATCCTAGCACTTTAGGAAGCTGAGGCAGGAGGACTACTTGAAGCCAGGAGTTTGAGACCAGCTTGAGCTACATAGTGAGACCTCATCTCTACAAAAATAAAAATAATTATCTGGGAATGGTGGCTCATGCCTGTAATCCCAGCTACTTGAAAGGCTGAACTGGGAGGATCGATTGAGCCCAAGAGTTTGAGGTTGCTGTGAGCTACGATGATGTCACTGCACTCTAGCTGGGACAACAGAGTAAGACCCTGTCCCAAACGAACAAAAAAAGGTGAATGTGAACACATGCACATCAATATATATACACATGAATACATATGTATTACGAATACATATAAATACATGAATATTTATGTATGTATAAAATATGCTCAAAGGACACATACAAAAACTTATCACAATAGTTGGATTGGGGAGGAGTGATCTGGGGGAGAAAGGACAGGATAGGAGGAAGACATTTTTCATTGTTAACCCTCTGTATTAGTTGAAATATATACCATGTGCTGATTACCTCTTCAAAGTGGATAAATAAATGAATAAATGAATGAATCTCCCTGTAGCAAAATCCAGGCGACTTGCTTTTGAGCTTCCTTAGGCAACTTCTGGAGTGTTGAAGGGGATAGCAGAGGCCGCTCTCCCACAGAACTGGGGCTGATCTATCCCAGTCCCCAAGAGCTATAAAGCCATTTGCAAATTCAGCCCTTGGAGTCCCATTGGCTCAGTTAAACTTTCACCCTCAGCCTCCTGGACTACAAGGACCAGCTTTCCTTAGAGTCTGTGCTCTCAAAATTGTGCATGAGAATCCCCTGCAGAGCTTGTTAGGCAATTTCCCTGCCCCACCTCCAGAGATGCAGATTCAAACCGGGGGTGGGGCCGGTGGATTCTTCACGGGTGCCTGGGCTGAGACTTCCAACGCCCATTTAGAGAAACCTTTTGGAGAAACGGGCCCTGCTGGTGTTTTCCTTCTGTTCAGGCCTTGACTGAGATTGCCTGCAGGGTTGTGGAAGAAAGCAGTTTTGAAAGGCGGATCCTTCCCAGCAAGCGTCTCTATTTGCATCTTCCTTACCCCATGCTCACCTAACCGAATGTTGAGGGTTCCAATTCCCTCCGAGTGTGGGATTACACTGGGTGAACCATGGGACTGCTAATGCCAGGGGAGCGAACGCTGATGACTGCCCTGAAGCTACCTGGCAGGCAGTGTCCTGCCTCTCTGGCTTCCTGGCCAGAAAATAAATAACACATATATAAGCAAGTTACATTCTGGGCTACGGTGACTTTATTTTTTTCTCCTCCTCCAAATTACAAAACAGAACATTTGGTCTGCCAGTGGGACAGACTGAAATAAGGACTTCTGTTCCAAACATCCGGGCGTTAAAGTTCTTACAGGTGGCCGGATAAATCCTCTGGCCAGGAAAGTCTGGTCTGGTCCCCCAGCCCGCGTGCGTCCCAAGCTATTATTGATATATTGATATTTGGGGCGTGCAGATCCCAGGGGCGCCCTGGCCGCCCCCTGCGGCAGCTGGCGCGGCCTCCGCGGGGAGCTCCGGGCCGCAGCCGAGGAGACTCCCGCCGCCCCCGGGACCCCGCAGCCCTCCCCGCCGCCCCCGGGACGAGCCCAGCGGTGCGGAGAGGTGGGAGGCTGGGGCCTGCTGAGGTCATTTCCTGTGCCTCTTCGCGAGCTGCCGGAGAGCCGAGCCCGGCGCTCTGCCTTTAAGGAGCGGGAGGGAGCCGAGGGGAGGAGGGAGCCGGCGGAGCGTTGAATGGGGCGCCGCGAAGCTCGGCGGCTTTGTGCAGCGAGCCCGCGGGCACCCCTCCCGCGCCAGCCTCGCCCGCCCCGCCCACCGCGACCCCTGCTGCCGGGGAGCGGAGACCCGGCGGCCGCTCGGGACTCGGGCGAGAGCGACGCAAGGTCAGCGGCGGCGGCGCGCCGAGGGCGCCCGTGTGCCGGTGCGCGGCGGGACGCCCGCCAGCTCGCGGAAGGTGAGCGGCTCCGCGCGCCCGCCGGCCGGGGTGGGCTCGGGGGTGTGCCGGCGGGGCAGGGCGCTAGGCTGGGCGGCGGGGACGCGCTCCCTCCGGCCGGGAGGGCGACCCGGAGCAGGTGCCTCCCTACCTGGGAGCGAGCTCCCAGCGGCGGGGAGCGCCGGGAGCCGCGGCCGGGCGTGGGGAGCCGGAGCCCCTGGAGACCCGCGCCGCGAGGGCAGAAGGAACCTTCCTGGGGAGGACCTGGAGTTGGGGACTGGCTCGATCCAGCTGCTCTCGGAAGGGGCCTCGGCATACGTGCAGGCTCCCACTTTGTTGTTGGTGCTCGCTGCTTTCACCCCTCCCGCGCTCCTCCCCACCTCACCTTAGGTTTTTCCTTTTATTTCCCCTGTAATTTCTGGGTGGTTCTATTAGGAGGTCCTATGGGTCAGGATAGACTCTTAGAGGCCAGTCAGCCAAGCAGAAAAGAAAACAGGTTGGCTCCGAATGACATCTGGAGCATTGTGTCCTAGGAGGCTTAGAGAGGAATCGGTCACCAGAGACCGAGGTGGGGCGGGGGAGCCTTACCGGGTGGCAGAGGCGGTGAGAACGCTCATCTGGAAAAAGAATTCTCTCGTTGGATTGTTGCCTGCCAGGGTATCTCCTCCGTAAGCTTTTTACTATGAATCCATCTCATGAAACTCTTCCGGACAGAGCCTTGGTTCCAGCTAAAACGCTTCAGAGATCATTTAAACAACTCTCTCAACGGAAGACTTATGGGTCCCCTCCATCAAACTTTTTGTACCGTCTCGTATGTGCCAGACACCGTATGTAGTGCTGGTAATATCAATTAACATTTTATAGAACATCAATTTTAGTGTTTCCACGTATTATTTACCCCCATTTTACAAAGGAGGAAACTAGAACTCAGAAAAGTGACTTGCTCAAGGTCACATAGCTAAAAAGTGGAAGAGAAATGACTGCAACCCAAGCCTCCTTCCTAAATTACAAATGTAGGGTTTGGTCCACTATCTACCACGCTCCCTCGGGCCGCTGCGGGGGTCTGCTCAGAGCTGGATTATGGTGGGGTGCACCCCATGGTCCCAAATTCATTGAAACTGGCAACTGAGCTGAAAACATGTGGTGCCTTTTCCACTGTCTTCAGAAGTCACCAGCTACAAGGGAGAAGTATGTCCTGCCCACCCCACTCCCCCAAGGGGCCTTCCTCAGTACCATCCCCTTTTCTCTAGGGGGCTGAGCTCTGTGTGAACAGTGTGCTCCTTAGGGGTTGGAGAATGCTTTATTCCTGTGGATGCTGAGGTGCCAGGATTCCCTCCCCCCTCTTTTGGGTGACTTCACTGCAGGCTGGCTGCTGAGGGCTCGTCCTGCCCTTCTATCAAAAACTAGTTCAAAACTGACCTCCTCTGTGGAGAAACAGGCACTTATGACTGGCTGAAGTAGGAATTAGGAGAGCCTCAGGGGAGGGCAATTTGAACTGTCGAGCAATTTCTAGTGCCAGACAGACATCCCTTTAAATTCTACAATTAAATTTAAACTCTCCTTATTTAAATTCTACCACAATTCCATTTCTGGGACTCTATCCTCCAGATATACTCTGATGTATGTGAAATAACGTATATCATATGAAATTATATGAAATGATGTATATCGCTGAATATTCATTGCAGCCTTGTTCATTTTAGCAAAAGGTTGGAACAACCCAAATGTCCATCAATAAAGGGCCCTTAAAAAAGATCATATAATAGCCACCCAATAGAATATGCTAAAGCTGATAAAAAGCATAAAGCAGGAGCCAAAGCAGGAGGATTGCTTGAGGCCAGGAATTCGAGGCTGCAGTGAACTATGATCATCCCATTGCACTCCAACCTGGACAACAGAGCGAGACCCTGTCTCTTAAAAAAACATGGAGAGACCGGTCATGGTGGCTCACGCCTGTAATCCTAGCACTTTAGGAAGCTGAGGCAGGAGGACTACTTGAAGCCAGGAGTTTGAGACCAGCTTGAGCTACATAGTGAGACCTCATCTCTACAAAAATAAAAATAATTATCTGGGAATGGTGGCTCATGCCTGTAATCCCAGCTACTTGAAAGGCTGAACTGGGAGGATCGATTGAGCCCAAGAGTTTGAGGTTGCTGTGAGCTACGATGATGTCACTGCACTCTAGCTGGGACAACAGAGTAAGACCCTGTCCCAAACGAACAAAAAAAGGTGAATGTGAACACATGCACATCAATATATATACACATGAATACATATGTATTACGAATACATATAAATACATGAATATTTATGTATGTATAAAATATGCTCAAAGGACACATACAAAAACTTATCACAATAGTTGGATTGGGGAGGAGTGATCTGGGGGAGAAAGGACAGGATAGGAGGAAGACATTTTTCATTGTTAACCCTCTGTATTAGTTGAAATATATACCATGTGCTGATTACCTCTTCAAAGTGGATAAATAAATGAATAAATGAATGAATCTCCCTGTAGCAAAATCCAGGCGACTTGCTTTTGAGCTTCCTTAGGCAACTTCTGGAGTGTTGAAGGGGATAGCAGAGGCCGCTCTCCCACAGAACTGGGGCTGATCTATCCCAGTCCCCAAGAGCTATAAAGCCATTTGCAAATTCAGCCCTTGGAGTCCCATTGGCTCAGTTAAACTTTCACCCTCAGCCTCCTGGACTACAAGGACCAGCTTTCCTTAGAGTCTGTGCTCTCAAAATTGTGCATGAGAATCCCCTGCAGAGCTTGTTAGGCAATTTCCCTGCCCCACCTCCAGAGATGCAGATTCAAACCGGGGGTGGGGCCGGTGGATTCTTCACGGGTGCCTGGGCTGAGACTTCCAACGCCCATTTAGAGAAACCTTTTGGAGAAACGGGCCCTGCTGGTGTTTTCCTTCTGTTCAGGCCTTGACTGAGATTGCCTGCAGGGTTGTGGAAGAAAGCAGTTTTGAAAGGCGGATCCTTCCCAGCAAGCGTCTCTATTTGCATCTTCCTTACCCCATGCTCACCTAACCGAATGTTGAGGGTTCCAATTCCCTCCGAGTGTGGGATTACACTGGGTGAACCATGGGACTGCTAATGCCAGGGGAGCGAACGCTGATGACTGCCCTGAAGCTACCTGGCAGGCAGTGTCCTGCCTCTCTGGCTTCCTGGCCAGAAAATAAATAACACATATATAAGCAAGTTACATTCTGGGCTACGGTGACTTTATTTTTTTCTCCTCCTCCAAATTACAAAACAGAACATTTGGTCTGCCAGTGGGACAGACTGAAATAAGGACTTCTGTTCCAAACATCCGGGCGTTAAAGTTCT